CCCTCCCCAACACACCCAACCCACGGCAATCCCCTGCCCCCAATTACCCCCACTGACCGCCCAAAGCACCCAGCCCACTGCAATCCTCTGCCCCCAATTCCCCCACTGACCCCGCCAAAGCACCCAGCCCACTGCAATCCCCTGCCCCCAATTCCCCCACTGACCCCGCCAAAGCACCCAGCCCACTGCAATCCCCTGCCCCCAATTCCCCCACTGACCCCGCCAAAGCACCCAGCCCACTGCAATCCCCTGCCCCCAATTCCCCCACTGACCCCGCCAAAGCACCCAGCCCACTGCAATCCCCTGCCCCCAATTCCCCCACTGACCCCGCCAAAGCACCCAGCCCACTGCAATCCCCTGCCCCCAATTCCCCCACTGACCCCGCCAAAGCACCCAGCCCACTGCAATCCCCTGCCCCCAATTCCCCCACTGACCCCGCCAAAGCACCCAGCCCACTGCAATCCCCTGCCCCCAATTCCCCCACTGACCCCGCCAAAGCACCCAGCCCACTGCAATCCCCTGCCCCCAATTCCCCCACTGACCCCGCCAAAGCACCCAGCCCACTGCAATCCCCTGCCCCCAATTCCCCCACTGACCCCGCCAAAGCACCCAGCCAGTCTCCAAACTGTTGCTGCCCCCAGCCTCCCATCCACCTACAAATGCCCAATCTCCCCACATTCTCCATCCCAACCTGACCACCCATTTGCCCCTCCTCTCCGCACTGCCCCCAAGTCTCCTTTCCTGCCCCACATACCTCATCACCTTGCTGCCCTGCTCCTAGCCCCCCAACCTCGTGTATGAGCTGGCAACCCCCCTTCCCCAACCTAGCCACAGATCCCCACGCCCAGCCCCTAACTCCCCCTGCCCAGCACTCCCTACTCCACTCACCTGGGGGCCCCCTGCCCGCTCCCGGTGTTGGCCCTGGGGTCCCCTCTCGCTTTGCTGGCGCTGCAGAGAGGGCCCGGGGGGCTGGGCAGCGGGGCTGGGGCGCACCACAGAATACAGGGCCCCCGGGGCCCCTGCTGGCCCCTCCCCCCCGCCTTCCAGGGACAGTCAGCGCCGGAACTGGGTGCGTTGCTCCCTGCGCAGTGCCCCCTGCTGCTGCCGCGCGGCCTGGTGTGCACTCTCTGCCAGCGCCAGCGCCATCAGCCGGGCCGGGTTCTTCGGGGGCGGTGGGGGAGGCACGTGCCGGAACAGGGACAGTGCCCCGGGCAGCAGGGCGGGAGTCTCCGGCTCAGGACCTGACGAGGAGAGAAGCCAGCCGGCCCCAGCCATACCCAGCAGGGGGCGCTGTAGGGGTGAGGCAGGGAGCTGGTGTGGGGGAGGGAGTTCCTGGCTACACTGGGCCTGGCCCAGTCCACCAGGGGAGCTGCAGGGGACTGGGACACATTGGCTGGGGAGTTGTGGTG